AAAAAAAAAAAAAAGAAAGTTAAATTTTCCTCCAAAGAAGTGGTACCAATTTACACTACTACAGTTTATGAAAATGCCAACTTCACACACAATTACTACTTTTTATCATTATTGAAAATAAATCCTTGGGGGGGTCGGCAGGTGGTTAAAGGCACTGGACTCCCATATGGAGGACAATGGTTCAAGTCCTGGACCTGGTGGCTTTCTTTCTCACTTTCTCTTTCTTGCTCTAGCTCTGTCCCTCTCTGGTCAAAAGAAAATAAATAAATAAAGTTAAATAAAATAATTATTTAATGAAAAAAAACCTCTATGAACCTCAGTTAAAAAAAATAATCCTTGTGGGGCCAGCAGATGGCATAATGGCTATGTCGCTGGACTCCCAACCGCATTTTATTCTACAACTAAGAACACAATGTAGACCTACACCTGGAGAGAGAACATGACACTCAGTGCAACAGTGCTTCTCCTAAGAATACTCTTTATGTGGAAGGCATTGACATTAGAACCAAGTCAGGAGAGTCCTTGGGAGGTGTGGACTTTTGGCCTGCATCACGTGGGAAAGGATGATTATGAGCTGACTTCTTTTAGTCAAGGAAGATTTCATATGCAAGAGCTCAGGGCTAACCCTGTGGTCTAGTTGTTAAGGGAGCTGGATCTCATATAGCTGACTGAAGTTCGAATCCTGCCCCTCGTGGCTTAAAAAGGATGTTGGGCACATGTGCATAAAAGCCCAAAATCCTGATGGGATGGAAAAATGGAGGGGAGGGACTGCAGTGTGACCACACGCCACAGGGGAGTGCTTTCTCCCTCTCTCTGTCCCTGTCTTTCTCTGGAGTGTGCATGTGCTTCCTAGCAATTAAAATAAATAAAACAAAAAACATATAAATAGAATTGTTTGAAGAACGTCCAGGATGTTCTCAGTGTCAGGTAAACAATCTCGACAGAGCAAATAGCAGAATGTCAGACCGAGAAGCAAAGAGGAAGAACCCAGAAAGAAGAGGATTAAATGACTGCGGTTTAGAATGAGGCAGTGTGAGCTGTGATCCTGGTTTTCCCAGTTACTGTGTGCCCTGGGGTGAGTTATTAACCTTTCTGTGTCTTAGTTTACCCATCTGTTATATGAAGGCAACAACCATAGCTAATTCATCACTGCTGTAAAGGTTACGTGGTACACAGACACGGTTAAATAAATGGAAAGTATGTTCATTGTTCCAGGCTACAATGACTCAGGACTTTGTGCGGAAAGATAAAGGTCAAGAATAGCTATTTGGGAAATCTATAAAACCGTACAAAATAGAGACAGCTCCAGTAGAGAGTTCTTCATCATAACCCAGAGTTCTATTCATAGATTACGGGCAAAGCAGAAGATTGAGGTTTACAGGCAATACAAAGAGGCACTTCCCTGCTGGGTAAAGATTGTACATTTGGAACGCGCAATTCTTGGTGGAGTAAGAAACTTTCTACCTAGGTTAGATCTGGCTTGGTTTCATGTGACCTTAGTTAATGACCTTGGGAAGAACCATTGGTCTGTTACTATACATAACTTTGAAAAGAGTATCCTGACAGTGACTGTTTTATTTGGAAATTCAGCATCTAGTAAACATGTTGAAGGACAGTGATTAACCGTCTTGAGGCCATAGAACACAGCACACATTAGACTGTGAAAAAATTAGTTTATGTCAACACTGACTTTTTTCTCCCTCCATTTTCTTTTCTTTATCCCTCTAAGTTTTTCTCCTTTCCCTTCCTCCTTTCTCCTCTTATATTTCAATACTTTCGTTTTTTTTTCTTCCTCTTCTTTCAGATCTGATCTCTCTTCTTAAATTGCTCTAAAGTAAAACCACAATACAATGTCCTTCGGAATGTGCTGTAGGAATTAAATTAAGATTTATGGAACAGTGTTTTATTGTTAGTCTTTCATCTTTTTTCTTAGAATGAGGTTAAGTACTTTCTATTTCAGTGTACTTCAGGATTTTCTTCAAAAATGTGGATCAGTGACTCACAATTAAAAAAAAAAAAAAAGAGGTTCCCTTTATCTATGCTAAGAGATCATGAAGGCTAAAGCTAGAAACTCCCTCAAGAAGATTTAGATAAATCAATGGATAATAGAGTCAGAGGGTTTGTTAAGGGCAATTTGAGAATGCTCACCTCATATCCTACCCTCAGAGGCTAAGGGCAGGTGACATCTACAACATTCTGTCATTCAGATATTCTTGAGGAAGCATTGGTCGGATCTCATCCATTCCTGTGCTCTTACTGTAAGGAACCAGGTGCCACTGCGTATATTCTAGGGTAGCACTGCTGCTAATATACCTTCAGCATTTTAAGTATTAGGTGTGCTACCATCATGCTTGCACTGACGATCCATTTGCTAGATTTTCCACATCTTCTAACCTGTTCACCTGCCCTTTTAGAACACATTTTACTTATGTGGATTGCTTCAAAGGGAAAGGGATAAAGAAGACTTGTAAATGAATCCATTCTCTTATCTTCCAACATTTTGAACAAAAAGCAAAGGGAGGTTCAAGGTGGGCCTTCAGTTTTCCTTGATCCCACAATTAGAGCTAGACTGTGATCATTTTACTTCCACGATTCATTTGGGGAAAGAACAAAACACTCTATAGTAGTAATGGAGTCCATAGTTGGTCAGAAATTAACAATGTGGCTACCTTTAAGGATTGGGAATTTAGCATCCACACAACATGAGTTAGAGTACAGTCAGGAAGAAAAAGAATTATTAAAGGAAAAAGCAAACACTCAAGCCCTTAGCAACCCAACATTCATGTTAAAGGAACCACACGGTATTGAAGTGCGTTATTTTCTATCTCATGTTCAAATTCAATCTGTCAAAACACATTTGCTCTCAATTTAGGGGAATGACGTATTTAAAATATCTGTGAAGCTTGATGTTTTCCCAGAAGGACAGCACTTTAGGCAAATTATTCAACATATCCCAAAGGTGACATGTAGTGCAATAAGCCAAATGTAAGTTTATTGCCTTCCTGTAGAGCTATGTGCTTTTTTAGACAAATAAATGTAATAAATGTAAAAACTGGCTCCAAGCTACATGATGTGCTTCTAAACATGGATATTTGCTTTAACCCAGAAACCCTTCCAGTGTTTAGGTATTGCTTAATTTATCATGCCTATGCACAAGTGAAGATGTGACTGACTCAGGTTTTCAATCTCTGTCACCTCCAACTGACCTCCAGAGCTGGCAGGAGTCAAACTGTTTCTCTCAGCTCTAGCAAATAGCCTAGTATCTGTACATGGCAAAGAAAGTGGAGATTCAGAGGAATTACGTGTGTGGTATTGGTCAAACTCCTGGGAGATTTGGACTAAATTCCCTTCACCCCTAACATTTGGTCATTCCCTATCTAAACTAAACCATTTTTCTAATTCCAGTCATGTGTGTGAACCAAACCAAGGACAAATCCAAATTAATCCTGACATTTTGGTCAAGTGGCCAAAACAAAATTTTGTTGCTTGAGAAATAAATAGTCAAATGGAAGGCTTTGAGAAACATTATACCAGGTATATTCTAAGCATTTGGCAACTGGAAATGGATACTTTTTTCTGGGTAAAACATTCCGCCCTCACCTTGAATCCCCTGATTATTTTAGTTCTTCAGGAACAGTCACACTCGCTTATCCCTGAGGGGTAAGCACAGGGCTCCCGCACTACCTGCCCCAAGTGGCTGCGCTGATTTCTCTGGTGAGAGACAGTAAAGCAGTCAGAGACTTGTCTCAGTTGTACCAACTAGTTGATTTTCATCTTTTACAGATAATGGGTGTGTTGTGTTGGAAAGAAAAACTAGATGAGGAATTACAATACATGGCTCTACCTCCACTGGCCACAGAGACAAGCCACTTACCTCTCTGAACTTCAGTTGTCTCATCTACAAAATGAGGTCCCTCACCTGCCTTGCTGAGTTGTTAAGGATCACATTGGATCAAACACAGGAAGCATCCTGTAGCCTTTGAAGTGTGAGAAGTGTAAGATGCTGGAGATGGGTCTGGAAAAAGCCTTTGATCAGCACTGGGAGGAAAGTGGCTAATCACTCACTTAAATACAGTTTCCAATGTTGGTATCTGCAACACTTCTGAGTACCTTCTTTCACATATGTGGTGACATGGGGGACAAATCCAGATAAGCGTCTTATTCTGCTTAGGACTGAATAATCTAGTTGGCCAGTATTTATTAAAGAGCTGGACTGAGGTCAGTAAGTTTTCTGGTGTGGGCCTCATGTGGGATAATCTGAATATTCACCAGCATATAACATCCCACAAAAATACACAGGAACTTCTGTGCCTTATGCTGAAGGTTAGTTCTTTGCTTTCATAATATGTGTTGTAAAAGTAAGTCATAAGCTCTAGACTACACAGCACTCCTGTTTTCTCTTCCTACTGGGATATGTGCATGGGTGTCAATAGTCCTGTAGATGGGGGATAATTCCTGGGTTTCTATTATCCCCAGGCCCTTATCTATCTATCTATCTATCTATCTATCTATCTATCTATCTATCTATCTATCTTCCTATCTATTTATTTAAGGTTTTTGCCATAGGGCCTGTATGCTTGCTGGAGAGACAGAGACAGAAAAAGGGGAAGTGAGAAGTCACCCTCCTGGGGGAGATGGCCATCCTAAAATCCCTTCTCCTCTGTTGTCTTCTTGGGATTTGGGACATGCACACGCACATGCACACACCCACCATGATTTTTAAGCCTCCAGGTCTGGAGTTTAAACCTGGTTGGTCATGTTGGAGTCGCACCTTAATCACCATACCATCTGCTGGTTCCCCAAATAATTTTTATACAGCCTTTTGAAGATTTTCAAATTTTATCAGCAATAGAAAACTACATAAATATAAGAATTTTTAGGATAGGACTAACTAACTAACTTGTTTAAGTTGACAGAAAGAAAAAAGCCAATGACAAGCCTTTGAATAGGAATAATTTTCAATTTAAGAGCAGAGAACAACACATTGACATTTCTGAGCCTATATGCTAAAGGCTAGACTACTTGCTAAGGGAAAATGTGAAGAGATGGTAAGAATATCATAACACAGTGTACCACAGCAGAGTAAAAACTGCCACCAAAAAGTCAATATATATTAAAAAAATAAAAAGCTAACAGAACTATTATTAAATGTGCTCACCACAATGTAACGTTCAATGTCGAATAAGAGGACTGTCTATACGCTTGATCTGATTATTACAACACTGAACACATGCTTTGAAAAGTCATAATGCACTCCACAAAAAAGTACAACGGTGACAAGTAAACCAGAAATCCAAACACACACACACACGCGCGCACACACACACAAATACCATGATTTCCATCCACCCAATTCCTCTTTTTTGCTACTTCCCAGAAGACGTCTGAATGCAGCAAGCCAGAGTCACTCCTTCGATTTCCACCAGAGAAGAACCATCTGTGATTGTTTCCAGTTCTAGCTTCCCATATCCCTTGAGCCACATGGTGCTGTCCTCTAAGGGACCTTAGTTGGCTAAGTCCTTTCTTTTCCCAAATGTTCCCCTGGCCCTTCCAGAACAAAAGAGATGATATACGTAAGTGCTCTCAGCACATTTGTGCATTCAGGCATGACTCCCTTATGTGTTAACATCACATGACCATATATAAAGAATGAGCATCACTGATTTGGTTGTTGTATTTTAATTGCCAAAGGATGTAGGTGTTGATCAGAGAGAGAAAGAGACAGAGAAATTGAGAGGGAGTGGAAGAAAGTACCTCTCAGTGGGGTGTGTTCATGCTACAATTTCTTCTTCTTCATTTTGTTAGGATTTGGGGCACATATGCACATGCACCTGAACTATTTTTTCAAGCTGTCAAGGTCAAGATTCAAACCTTGGCTGGCTGTGTGGGATATCGTTCCCTTAACTCTAGGTCATGAGGCAGGCCTCTTTTATTTAGGACCTGGGAATAATAGGAACCCACGAATCCAATTATCCCCCATTTGTGGGGCAGCTGTCACCTATGCACAAGATGGCACTAGCTCTAAGAATCTCACCTGGGGAGGGCTGGGATATGAGAAGCAATCCTGTTCCACAAAGCATTGGACAAACTTTTCCTGTTTTTTTAAGTCTCACAAATGAAACCAATTTTTTTTTTCTTATTAAGAATCATATGTTTGGGACCAGCAGTTAGCATAATGGCTCTGTCGCTGAACTCCTATGTAGTTAACCATGGTTTGAGTCCCGGACCCAGTGGTTTAAACTCATGCCAAGCAAAAGTGTATGCGTGCCCAAGATTCCGAGAGGAGAATGGAGGAGAAGAGATTGCGGCGTGATCATCCCCCGAAGGGGTGATTTCTCACTTTGTGTCTCTCTGTCTCTCTCTGTCTTTCTGGTGAGTGCAGATGCCCTATAGCAAAAACCTCTCAAAAAAAAAAAAAAAAAAAAGAACCATATGTTTTGGGCAGGGTTGTGGGGGGAGAACAACAAACAGACTTTCTTTGATATAAATTATTAAATTTATTAAATTTACAATCAGAATGAAACATCTCCTAAGTCATCAGTATCCTGAGGAGGAAAAATCAAACAAAAGCATACGACTTCCCTGTCCCATCTCCTCCACGGCACCGCTGAGGAAGTTCCCACTTCACAGAGCTGCTGAAGTCCTTTCTAGTTCAGAAGGGTAGACATTTGGTATTAGGAACAACGTTTTCATCTTAATAATGGAATGGATGGCCCTTTGTTAAGTCATTTCCATTTTTCAAGTCTCTGTACCCCAACCTGGGAGGCAGCAGGCACTGTCGGGGGTCCAAGGGTACCATCTGCATCCCACCAGTCTGCATGGCCTCTGAGCAGAAAGAAGCTTGGCTAGAGTGGAGGAACAGAGTTCAGCTGGCTGGGTCACTGTGGAGTCTACTGTCCAACTTTTCTAACATTAATTACAACCATAGATGTGCCCTTTTCTTGGTATTCTAATCCCACTGGAGACTTTTCATTAAGACCTTGTTCCTTTGCACACATTTCGGGCACAACATATTGTCCTCCAGGTGCGGGGGTGGGAAACTGCTGGTCGCAAGTAGGAAGAGGGCACAGACACTTTTGCTTCTCAGGAACCCAGGCTTATCCTGCATGAAATTGCAGGTGAACCCAACCACTTGTGTTTGCAGGGAGACTTCTCCCATGGACCACCCACCACCTGACACCATAGGCCTCTTACTTGGATTCCATGGCCTCTGTTTCTGCTGACTCCATCTTCCCAGACACAGATGCAATGCTGGCCTACAAGGCCAGCAAGGCCTCTGAGGCAGAGGTTGTCACCTCAATTGTATTCACTCCCTCCAGGATAGCTGCAGACTCTTCAGCATTAGATGAAGCTTCTGCAGGTAGAGAAGCCACTCCTGGAGGATTAGTCCTTTCAGAACACATCCTTTCCTGAGGACTTTCTGCAAATCAATGTTTTCCCTTTGCCCATCTTTAATTTTCTTCATAATGATGACTCAATCCTGGTCTCTTTTGTTGTGGCAGAAATATCCTTATGATTTGGATAAGTACAGGCACACGATCTCCTATATACATCTAATTTCTGGCCTTTAATCTTTAATTGTTGGCACCAACCCTGCAAGATGTCAGTGAAGCTGGTTGACTGGTGTCAGTTTAGAGGGCAATGAGGGAATTGGTATCTTTTTCTGAGGTCATAGGCTGTCATTGCTTTGTGCCTTCTCCTTTGGACAGGAAGCTTTGTCATCCTTCACAGATCTTTTTAATTTTTTCCCCTTTGCTGAGGTTGCCAATAAACCTGTAGATGGGCTTGGTTGGCTGGAAGCCCACTGCTGCTCTTCAGTCTCAGACACGTGTTCCCACTCAGAATTTCCATACTCTCCTCTTGACTTCTCTGTGGATTTCCACTCCTTGCCTCTTGCATGTTCCATACTCTGAAAATAGATAGAGCTGGTAAAGGAAAAACTCTTTTCCTGAAACCAACTCTTTGAGAAAAAAATTCTTGGTTATCTTGTGACTAAAAGTACTTTTTTTGATATTTTCTTATCTCCAGAAATATGTTTTGTTTCACTACCCATGATCTATTTCCGTATTTTAAGAGATTAGATTTTAAGAATTGACTCATTAAGGTGAAGGCTAGTAAAGGGAACTTTCATATTATTTCGGGTAACTCTGCAAAGAAAGGAGCAACAGTGAGGTGAAGATAACATTAATCTTACACCCACACAGTAATTAGACATTCCCTTCTTTAGGCCATTTGTTCTTGTGGAAGTTTTCAAGAGCCAGAGAGTGCAAATGGAGACTGGCCATGAGAACACACACAGCACTGCTTCTACCAGCTCCTCCAGGGCAGGGCCCTTGGTGTTCCCTTTTTGTAGACTGCTCACCTTCCCTCCTAGGAAAGCACAACACACATGTCTAGACCCTTCTCATCAGTACATGAAAGACAGAATTCAGGGGAAAGATGCAAGAAGAGAGTGAGTGGAGTGGATCCTTTGAGCAACTCTTCATTTCAGTTAACCCAAGAGCTTAGCATTCATAGACTGTAAAAAATCAAAGAAATCTCAAGCAAGGATACAAATTACAAATATTCTTTTTGTATTTTTTCAATTAATCATGACTGAAGTAGTCTAAGTGTTATCTGGCAGTGAGGAAGGGTGGTATAATATGGGACTTAGCATCAAAAGGCCCGAGTTTGAATCCAGTTCTGATACACTTTGGTAGCTTTGTGATCCCGGACACTATAATTAGTTTTTCTGGAACTCAGTATTCCATGTAGGAAATGTGGGGAAAAAACACTTGGTTTGTTTATCTATATGACATTGTTTGGAGGTCACATTCAATGAAGGATATGATAGTACTTTGTAAAGTGTAAGGTGCTAAAAAATATCAATTACAGAGGTACTTCAAAATTTTGTGGAAAATGGAATTAGAGTGTGAGTTTATTTGGGTCTAGACTTTTTTTTTTTAATTCATGCATAGCATTTCCACAAACCTTTTGAAGACTCTTTATACTTATTTAAGAATTTTCCAAATCTTGTAACAATAAAAATTCTGTTTTTTGTTCTGCCTTTGATCCCA